TTAAAAAAATAAAAGAACTAAAAAGTCCACTGGCGGACGCCAGAGAGACGGCAAAGGCCCTGCTCAGTAGCAGCGGCGGAGCAGGCGGATCCTCTCCTGCTCGAGGGCCTCCAGCAGCGAGCCCAGGCCCTGGCGCTCTGCAGGGATCAGCTCCTGGCTCTTGAAGAACCAGCGCCTCACCAGCTGCGGCATCTGCTGCTTCCCGCTGAATACGACCAGCAGCAGCTTGCCCACGGCGTACGCGTCGGAGAGGCTACCGCACGGGCCCGCACTCTCGCTCCCGCAGATCTCGGGGGCGTAGCACAGGCGCTCGTTCCACTGGATCCCCAGCCTCGGCAGCCTCCCGGCCGCCATGGTCACACCGAAGTCGATCACGGTCACCCGGGCTCCCTCCGCGCCCATGCGCACGCACACGTTAGCTGGCTTGATGTCGTTGTGGGCGAGCCCGTGCTTGTGCATCATTTGCACCATGTTGCACACCTGCCTCGCAACGGAGATCCTTTGCTCCGCGTGCAGGCGGCCGATCAGCTGGGCGTCGAGGGTCTGGCCGGCGTACCTGGTGACCAGGCACATCCTCTCCGGACACACGCCCACGAGGCGCTGGAAGCCGTCGTATTGGGCGAGCAGCGTCATGACCTTCGCTTCCACGATGAAGGTCCGGAACGTCTCCAGGTTCTGGGCCTGTTTCACCACCAGCTCCTTCTCAAGGTTCAGGAAAGTGGTGCCGTAGCCGCCCTTACCCAGCTGCCTGGGCGCCATGCCCATGCAGCTGCGGAGTTGCTCACTAGACAGAAGTGCCACGTGGAAGTCCGTGCAGAAGCGTACGAACACGTTGACTTCCGTCTCGAGCAGCCTCCTCGGGACTGAAAGGTTTTTAAACTTGATCGAGAATAAGATCTAGAAGTAGTTTTCAAACCGCGCGGATATGCTCTACGGACCAGTCGCTTGTCTGTTGTGTTGTGTGGGCATTGTCGGCACGTGACTCTTTTCCCTCTGCTCTTCACTGCCTGTTGTTTTCGCCTTCTTCTGCTATGGTTCCGTGCTTTCGTGTTCCCGGGCACGCTTGCTGGGACGCACTTCCTTCGGAGAGCATCGAGCGACCTGCTCCTGACTGCTCAGGCTTGCTTCTCTCTGGATGCCCAAGGAGTCGACGATTTGGAGGAAATCCTCGTCGAATTCCTTTTCTTCTGTGCGCACGTCTGCGTCGACTGTCTGGATCCCTGCGGATGCCATGAGATCGAGGAAATCTGCATCGAAAGCCATGCCGCTGGGCGGAACCCGCGGAGCAAGGCTGCAACACGTCTGATCTCTAGCTGAGCTCGAGGCTGAATGAGGGTCACCGCTTGAGACGTCATAGAAGTGCCTCGGTCGTAACGAAGTTAAGTGGAAATCCAGAAACAGGTTTCATCCTGTTTTGTTGGACTCCTGTCAGCAGTTTGTTTACATGTATTTGTGAATGTGAGTATATGTGTAAGTAGATAGATGGATGGATAGATAGATAGATAGATAATAAATAGATACACACACACACACACACACACACACACACACACACACACACACACACACATATATATATATATATATATATATATATATATATATATATATATATATATATAAACATATATAGCCAGTTAGCAAGCTAGCCAGATAAATAAATAAATGAATATATATTGACAGATAGATAAATAGATATAAATAGATAGATAAACAGATAAATAGTTTTCGCTCGTGTGTGTTTGTTTGTGTGTTTGTGCGTGCGTGTGTGTATGTGTATGTTTGTGCATGTATGTGTGTAAGTGTGTAAGCGAGAATACACTCGTATGTGTTTGTGAGTGCATGCGTGTGTATGCGTGTGTATATCTGTGTGTGATCTCTGTATGTGCGTGTGTTTGTTTGTGTGTGTATGTTTGTATGTGTGTGTGTGTGTGTGTGTGCATGTGCGTGTGTGGGCATGTATGTGTGTAAGTGTGTAAGCGAGGATACACTTGTACGTGTTTGCAAGTGCGTGCGTGTTTTTTTGTGGTTTGTGTCTCTGCGTGCATGCGTGCGTGCGCGTGTGTGTATGCGTGCGTGTGTATGTGTGTGTGATCTCTGTATGTGCGCGTGTTTTTCTTGTATGTTTGTGTGTGCATGTGTGTGCACGTATGTGTGTGTGGGCATATATGTGTGTAAGTGAGAATGCGCTCGTATGTGTGTGTGTTCGTGAGTGCGTGCGTGTGCTTGTTTGCGGTTTGTATCTCTGTGTGCACGCGTGTGTGAATACGTGTGTGTGATCTTTGTTTGTATGTGCGTTTGTCTGTTTGTGTATGTTTGTGTGCGTGCGTGTGTGCGTATGTGTGTATGTGTGTGTGTGCATATATGTGTGTAAGTGTGTATGTGTGTAAGCGAAAATGCACTCGTATGAGTGTGTGCGTGTGCTTGTTTGTGGTTTGAGTTTCTGCGTGCATGTGTGCGTGCGCGCGTGTGTGTGATGGGTTTGTATGTGCGTGTGTTTGTTATTATTATAATTATTATCATTATTGTCCTTATTACTATTATCATTTGTGCTGTTATTATCATCATCATTGTTATTGTTATTACTAATATTATTATCAATACTATTATTATTATTACTATTATTATTTTTATTATTATCATCATCATCATTATCATATTCTTATTTTTATCATTATTGTTATCATTAGTATTATTATTAGTAAAAGCTTTATTATCATCATTGTTTTGTTGTTGTTGTTATTATTATCATTATCATTATTACTGTTGTTGTTATTATTATCATTATCATTATCATTATTGTTGCTGTTGCTGTTGTTGTTCTAGGTTCTATTGTTCATGTTGTTATTATTATCATTATCATTATTACTGTTGTTGTTGTTATTATTATCATTATCATTATTGTTGCTGTTGTTGTTGTTCTAGGTTCTATTGTTCATGTTGTTATTATTATTATTGTTGTTATTATTATTATTGTTGTTGTCATTATTGTTATTTTCTCCGGTTCGCCGCCGTCTCACTGTAAGATCCATGGGGGGGACACACAAAACACACGTTCGATCTTAACACTTTAATAGTCGGAATCACCCCCCCCTTGTATATGCGAGGGGAAACGAAGGAGTACAGAGTTTTTGATAAAAAGAATATTTACAATACAATTTGTTGTGGGGGTAGTATAACACTATAGAACTGGTAAAAAGTCAAACTTAAAATATAAAAATCACAAATGATAAAACTGAAAAGATAAAACGAACAAAAAAAAAAAAAAAATTTTGGCAGAAACATTATGGTAAATAAAACCCATACCCAGGCTTCTAGAATCATGAAAATAATAAAAAGTATCACAGAACATAATGCAACTTTCAAAGTCAAGGCTCGATAATCAACAAAAGAGGGAAAGATACCCTCCAAAAAATGTGACTAGTACGCGGAAACAAACAAACAAATAAACAGTCAAATAGGCAATCAAAGCTTCTGTTGGTTTACCAAATAAACTACAAAATGAGCAGGTAAGAGAAATTAATAAAAAAAAAAATAGCAAAACTAAATTCATGCTTGGCAAATAATTTAGATTTAAAAACAAATAAATAAAAAAATAACAATAACTTCTAAAAAGTCCGACAAATAAAAAATAACAAGGAGGCGTTAAGCATTGAAAAAAGAGAAAGTTACTTTAAAATGTACAATAATTTAGATAAAAATGGCAATCTAATGGCCAGAGTGAACATCTAAAAAGGGCATAAAATATGGGGAATGACAGCCGATCCATATGTCGTTTGTCCTCTAGGATCTTCCTACTTTCCCGTGGCCAGGATTTAGGGCAGGATGTAGGTTAAAGCTACGGTCACACTAGTAACTTGTATGAGGAGATCTCCCCCTACACATGAACACTAGCTATTATCGGTAGACGGGGATGTGGTCACACTTGTCCTCAAGAAAGAACCATCGTCCCCGCGCAGCGGTGACGCCGATAGTAAACAAACCACCATGGAGCTTTCCTCCAAAGATGAATTTTGTGGTTATTTTTCAGCTATTACGGCGCTTACACAGTGTGCATTAGCCCTTGCTGCTGTAAAACAAAAGAAAAAGAAAAGAAAAGCGTAAGTAATTTCGGATGAGAGCTCCATTATGCCAATCCTGCTGAATGTTTGTGTTTACGTTCGATGGTCAAGCGAGTAACCCTTCAATAATCTATTCATTCTAATAAAATATTATTGTACATAATTATTTAAATTACTTATATTTATTTGAGAGAGGTTTATTTATGTACTGGTTATTATATTTAATATGAGAGGGAAAGGAAGAGACACAGGCTAGGAGAGGGAAAGGAAGAGACAGAGGCTAGGAGAGGGAAAGGAAGAGACAGAGGCTAGGAGAGGGAAAGGAAGAGACAGAGGCTAGGAGAGGGAAAAGAAGAGACACAGAGGCTAGGAGAGGGAAAGGAAGAGACAGAGGCTAGGAGAAGTGTAAAATTGTAAAATCAAAAATAGTAAAATATAGAAAACTTTAACATTAGTTTACTCAATCCCTTCATTACGGGAATTATGATTTTAATATTATTAAAATAATTAATTCACTTGGAGGAGATCTGTTTTTCCCTGTTTTCTAATAAAACAACAGTGGTCGTGGCGGTTATATTTCAATAGAAATCTAATATATTGAATTATCTAGATTTCGATAGTTGCGGCAGCGGTGATTTCCATGCCTTCTCCTCTGTCATTTCCTACCATGGGGATATTCATTTAGGAATATTTGTGTACATTTGACTCATGGGGTTTACAGAAATTTAAGAAACCCTCAGAGGATAAGCATTAATGTTCTCTTGTAGTTTCAGGTGACGTCGGGCGTGATTCCTGAAGTGTCCCATGTGCAGTGTATCCCATTTTTTTTTTTTAGGTTTTTAGTTTGATAGTAGTGGTCTTAAATTGCTTAAACGTACGAGGTACCTGTAATGATTAACTATAGTTATACATAATACATATATATTTTTTCATCATGTTCTTTTAGCAATAGTATAATTTCTAGGTTGTTTTTTTTATTGATAGTTTATATGTTGATTTGATACATTCCTTTACAGAGCTGACAATACTTTTCAGGGCATATCAATGGTATGTTTATTTTTTTGTGCTTAATTCACTTGTTTCCCTTTACTAAGTAAAGTTTTTCACTGTAGTATATTTATGAATATACGTTTTACTTGTCCGCTTGGGTTTGTAACATGTTCTAATGGGTTGCTTTAACTATTAAGTACTTGCATTTTTTCTCATTCCTATAGTGAAGTGAAGTGAGAAGTGGTGATGCTTGTTGTTGGCGTGTGAGGGTAGAGGCGAGAGGTGCTAGGTCAGCATAGTTCAGGACTACGTAGACATAACAATCCTTGTTTTCACCCGTCGTTCGCCTTCGTGTGAGGACGTCTCATTATGACGTCATAAACTCCACTCCTGAGTCGCGTTAGGGCGATACCGACTGCTGAAATTTTCCCGGGGGAAATTGTCACGCGCCGACCTTGCCTGTCAGCGGCTTTGTGAGCGGGGATTCCCATGTTTCTTTACCGCGTAAAAGAAATTATTTCGATGCCTAATCCAGGCGTAAGGGATACCCAGGGGGCCCTCGGGGTGGCGGAGGAAACTGCCCAAAGGGCAGCGGAGAAAAAATAGTTATCTACTACCCAGCCGTCTCTTGATCTCAAGTATGTAGTGTTCAATGAGGAGATGAAAAGAAATCCTATAAATGAGGTAGATCACCGCCTTTCCTTTTATGAAAGGAAGTGTCCTAAGACAAAGGGCGCCGTGGCAAATCTTGATGAATGGATAAAGCGAGTAGATTTAACTCATGACGAAGCATGGAATGATGACGGAAAGATCCGCCTTGCACTACGACGTCTTAGAGGGGATGCGTTAAGAACATACGAAGCATGGTATGCAAGAGCTAAAGATGTCGATTATAACTGGAGTTCCTTGGCGGACGAGCTCAGGGTGGTTCATGATGCCGTTATCAGCACCAGAACTGCGTTTGATATGTTTCTGGGTACCAGGAGGGAGGTGAGTGAGTCTCTTGAAGCATATTTTAACAAATTGCGAATAGCGATCGAACAAGGTAAAATACAAGATAGTGTTTGCTGCTCTTGTGCAGAGCATGATAGGTATTGTCATTGCCAGGGAACTTCCAAAGGGGTTTTTTGATCCTTGTCTAGGCTAAACAAAATAAAGCTACTGATTATCGGAGGGAGGCGGTAAAGGACTAAAAATAAGAGTAGTAGGGGC